GCGAGGCGACCGATTTTTCGTGCCTTTTCTATCATTATATAACTGCCGCGAAATGCTCTCGAGCGATTGTAGATTCGCCAACCGTGAAATGTCAGAGCGGATAAACGCGATTATTACGAACGTATGATAAATCTAAGAACGTCAACGACGTGAACATGGTTATTTGAGAAAAAATTGCACTTATTAATAGTATTCGTGAAATACCAAAAAATTGAAAAATTTTAATCCAAATATTGTCAATCACAATTTACATTAGTTGCAATATTTTCAATTCTTACTTAATCATCAAATCATTTCGTTTAATCGAAATCGGCAGATCGCCTCGATTGTGTTGTACATTCATTGCGGACAAACGCGAGTCGATAGACTCATCCTTCCTTCTCGCGGCCTCTTCGCTCGCAATTAGCCGGACCAATTGTTGAGCGCCTAATCAATGGGAAAGGTCTTCGATCACGACGAGTCAATTCGAGCCGCGGGAGAGAAATGTAGCTCTCGCTTTTTCCCCGGCGAGCGCGCTCGCTCCGCTTCTCCTCCGTTCGTAGGCTCTTGCGATCTCACGCCACTAAATACGCACTTTCTGGGAAACAGACGTAGCCGCGACCCTGCCCACGTTTCTTCGGTCTCGGTACAATTACTTGCGTGCCGGTTTTCGCGATACGCCGTGAAACATAGCCGCGCGATGCAACAACAGTGACGATGGCGCGCCTCGCGAGCGTTCGAGCGATTTTTTCTTTCTGTTTCTTTAATATTAATTTTAGCATTTTACGTTAACAAGCTGCAAATAATTTCTGAAACGATAGTCTTACGCACTTTCTACATGTGCCAAACGAAAGCTTGAACTCCGCTCCTTCAATCGCATTGTCCGCTCGTGTCTTGCAGCAAGAACATTATATAGCTATTATTCTTAATTATGCGTAATTACAATTGTCTCATATATCATAATTCGAGTCTGCTCCTTCAAGACTGCTACTATTGTCTACCATTGTCTGTGTTTGTCTCGGATTTCCCACTCAACTGCGAATTAAAATTGAGTGAAATAAGATAACTCTAAATACATAAAGAAATAATATAATAAATTGTTCAGATGGACGTCTTTCGGAATCAGTTGAAGCATTGGAGGTCAGAAATAATTTGCCGAGAAACACACGCAAAACAGCTAAGAGTTAAGTGAAGACAAAAATAAACGCGGATAATTTTCCGTTAAACTTGTCCCGTTCCTTCGAAACGGAACTTCACACGGCATTTGCATATTTTATACCCTATTCATCATTACTACGTGTCGTTAAAAACTTGATCGCTGCTTTCACGATCGAATTTCCATCTTTGTCTTAACAAAAAAAAGAACAACCACTCACTTTCCCTCATTTCCTTTTTGGGTTCGCTATCGACTACACGTGTCGAAAGAAATCAGAAGGCTCCACGGAGACGAATACGGCCGACAACAATGGATCGAGCGAATTTTCGCTCTTTTGTTTCTACTTTCTAGGAAGATAATTCAGCGGCTCTAAGCTGGCATCCACGCGGAATCGCATGTCAATTGTAGAAATTACGATGGGCGCAATTTCCGTCCCGATTTCAGAAAGTCTGAAAAATCGTTGAATATTCACAATAAAAAATTAACAATAATTGTAATATTTGAATACGACAATTTAGTATCGAAATGTATTAATTTATTCATTGGTTTTAAATAAACTTTGCCTCAACAAAACTTCAATTTGAGATTTAATTATAAAGAATATCATACTAAAATTTTGAAAATTTGATTTATTTTGCTAAAGTTGACTTTGTTAAGTCGATTTAAAAAGAAAAACAATTCTAAGTTAGCCGAGAAATGACAAAAATAACGCCGTGGAAACGCGACATCGAGTTTAGCATTGAAGATGCTGATATCATCATAGTTGGCGGTGTCCTTCAATAAATTCGAGTGAGCATCGAATCGTGCTTAAAATGCAATAGCGCGACGACGTAAAACTGACCTTGGCAGACCAATGACATCTTCATCAAAGCGGTTAAAAACCGTTAACCTTCGCTTGAAGCGGACAACGATTCAGTTGCTTCCTCCGAGCAACTTCGTAACCCCTTCGCGACGCACTACTGAGTCTTTCAAAATATATAATATATTTCCCCAAACAAAAAATACCGTTTTTACAAGAAAATTCTCCGCAGATCTTCGCTTTAATATTTTAATTAGCAAAATTAAATTAAAAATAATTTAATATCCCTTTTGGTTACGACTTTGTTTATTGCTCCGATATCGAAGAACGGACGTCGAGTCTATCGCTATTAAATTACAGTGCATCCAATTAGCCGCGAGAAGGCTAATTTGTCCGCTCGTTAAACGCAACTGTCATGATACAGTCGACGTGAAATGCGATTGTAACGAAGTATGGCATCGTGCCGTCATTTTGCACGAGAAACTGAAATGATATATGCGTTCTACGGCAAATAATGCATCACGATGACAAATGGCGCGCGTGTAAACAGCCCGGCCACTTTACTGGAAATGACTTTACGCGTATCCACGCGGGTCGCAGCAACGTGGTGCATCCGCGGTGTGCACATCTCTGTAGCGCCGCAACATCTGCTCGCGGCGTGCACACGCGCGTGTGTGTGCAGCTTTTAATAAAAGCGCGAGACACGGTCGTGATTTCTTTCTCATGATTCACGCAGCTGTCAGTAATACGAATTGCGATTGGTTTACCCGCGGCTCTCACGGCAAATACTCGTTATTTCACGTACGCATTTCCTACGTTTACTCACACTTATTACACCTGCAATTAAGAATGTAATGAAATTCACTTTTCAATTCCTGCACATCCTCGAATGTTGAATAAATATTCTTTAAATTAACGTCTCGAGAGAGATTTGCGCGTAAAAACTCAGAAATGATTTCTTCTTTATTAAAACGGCAATAGAATATAATAATTAGTTAACTCATTGACACAACTTGTCACTAATGACAGAAATGAATAGTCAACAAGCTGTGAGTTTTCTTGCAAATGAAAAGAACGAATGGAAATAAATAAAAAAACGGAAGATCTATCTTTGTTCTTTTACCCTTCGACTCTTCCTCGCCGTGTAAACCGCGATAAAGCGATGCCGCAGGCAAGAAGAGCCAGTACTCACTTTCGTTCCGCGCGTCGAGTACTCTCGTTCTCGAGTTCAACGGCGACTCACGAGTCGTGGAGAGCAGCGGCGCGTTTGCCCATCGTCGTCAGGTCACCATCGGATAGCAATACAGCGTCCACGAGTCAGTCAGCGAGCCGTCACGGTCCACGTACGTCGGGTCCCACGCGTAACGCACACGCCGCGGGAAAACGCTGTCTTTCGGGATAACGGTCTTTCTCTGCGCGAGCACCACGCGTGGTGCTCCGTGCACGCGCCACGGTGTAACACACGAAACTGCCGGTCTCAAGGAGGCTCTCTCTCCTCTTCGGTGCCCCCGGTGGCACAAGGTGGCGGCGGCGGAGAGGAAGGAAGGCAACCAGCCGGCTCGACGACTTACGGGGAAGGAGAGAGAGAGAGAATCCGTTTCCCGGTGTGCGTGTGCGACGCACACGTGAGGTGCCCTGTCGAACCCACGAGGACCCACGGGCCTTTCGCGAGTCCCGCAGCGGGTTCTCGTAACGCTCTTTGTCATGTTTTTTATGTTTTTTACCTTTCGCGTTAAGACGTCCAAACGTCCATTTTCTTGCAATGTAAAAATCCACTCTTGAAAAAGGCATGCAAAGTCGCATATATCGAAATTTATTACAATAGTATAAATATATAGCTCTTTTTCTTATTAAAATAATATTCTTGAAACAACAAGCTGATAGAGCAGGAGCTAGTTTTAATTGCTCAAATTTTCATTTATTATAAAATAATCACAAATACGGACGTTTCGGCCTAAAGGACGTCGCCATCTTTAGTGTAACAAATTAAAAATAATGTCGTCGTTAGTCGGAAAACGTTGACAAGATAGTCAGAATAGACATGTTCTCAGGCAATACTTATGATATAGGTAACGCATCCTTTTTTTGACACGGATTGTACATTTTTTTATATCGAACTTATGTGAAGCCAAGGATCATCTAACTTATTAGGTCCGTCAGATATGTGTATCAATTGAAGTAAGACATGCGTCGACGATAGTGAGTCGGGCTGACTGAAATTTATTGTTGTCGCTTTTCCGCGACGCTGATTGGTTACCTCGATTATTCTGACAGTTTGATAGTTTGAGAGCGAAGGTTATTTTGACGGTTATTTAAAATACAAAAAATTTTATTAAAATATTTAAATTTCATAATTATTAAATTATTATAAGTGCGCGCGCCTGTATTGTTCTAGTAGAATAAAATGAATAAAATTTCAGAAATCGATATCTCGAACTTTCGTCCAATATTCTCCAACTTGTCTTTGCAAACCTAATTGGCCTGACAGTATTAATTGCGCAAATAAAAGACGTTTATCGAACCGCAATGAAAAGTATCGTTCAGTTGCCATAAAAGCGCGCAAGAGAGCTAGTTTTGGGAGCTTTGAATGAAAAAACGCGCGCTTCCCGCTCGAACTAATGCAATCAGCGACTGCCGCACTCAACTTATCGCGCGCCAATCCGGAAATTTGATATCGGCAATCTTAAAGACCCCCCGCTGCCATCCATCATGCGCGGCGAAACATCAAATTTCCGTCGAAGCTGCCGAAGAATCGCGTCGTTTAATATTCGAGCGCGCGCCAACTTCCGGAAAGAATACAATCCAACCTTTATCTAGAAGAATACAACGAACAAACAGACAAAATTTTATCTCAAGATTTGCGAGAAGCGATTTTATCTCGCAATTGGATAAAAATTTCGCCGGACAACGCGCCTCTTATCGATAAAAGCTCGCAATCGACATCGCCGTCATCGTCGATGTCAAGTTCGCGGCGACGCAACTTCAAGTCCACGTGGACGATGACCGTGCCGCCGAAGGGTGGCGGTGACGCCGATATTGGCAATAGCAATAGCCGCGATGTTATGACGAGTGTCGTCCGCGCGCGTTCGATCGCCGCGCGCGCGACACCGACTATAGGAAAAACTATCCCCCTCCGGCGTGGTTTGCCGTGGGTCAAGACTCACCCCCGTGTGTCAGTACGACGCCGGTGGTTGTTGCTATTGCACGCAGCAAGCGCGTTCCCGTGTGCCGTGAGTGTTCGAGCATCGTCGAGCCCGGGCGATTCGATCGATGCGATAAATCGCGCTTCAACTCCGCGAGAAATTTCAAAAGTCGTGACTCGCCGCGGCTCGTTCCGGAAGAACCGGAAGGGGAGGGGGAGTGTTGATATTCGCATCAGGGTTTCAGAATTTTCCGGACGATACATGAAACTGCGAATGTAAGTGCACCTTCGTCAATCGGAATTCGTCTATAGACTCTGAGACGTCACGCGGAATTCAAGTTCGATAAGCAGCCTGAGCGCTCTCGTCAATTATGAAAGCATTCTACGTTATTCTATTAGGAAGAGCGTTTCGCTGCGTTATTTTTGCGAATAGTCGATAATAATAGTAAAACGAAAGATAATAACGCTTATTTTAAGACCGTAACGATCGTGAATGGGCGGATGTTGTTTTACGACTTCACATTTATAGCTACATAAATTTCATTTCTTAATCATTATTTTATCAAAATTGAACTATAAATTCTTACTGTTAAAAGTATATTAAAATAGATTATTCTACAAAACATGTTTTTTATATCACGCACGCGTTCGCAGGATGGAAATTCAAGTTTTACGAAAAATTGAATCGCAAATTGATAATAAATCCGCCGTGACGTTTTCGCGAGATAATAAATTTAAATTATGCAAATAATTAAATTGCACGTGTAAATAAGCACTTTACATAAAGCCTCATTGTTAGTGAGAACTTGTTATTAAAGTGTCATTCAATCGGTCATTAATTATTCAAGCGATCTTCTGGAAAATTGCAGACTGCGCGATGCGTCTTTTAATAATTTGTATAAAATATGTTTACTAGCCGTCTTCCTCGTTTGTTTGCTTTCACCTTCAATAACGCAATAAAGTGTAATCGTCCGGAACGGTGATATCCTTGTTGGAAGAAAATACATTCTCTATTAGCGGTTTTAATACTTCCATAACACGATTTTAATTAACTCTTTTTCTTATTAAGAAAATTAATCACTTTGGATCTTTGAAATATTGCTCGTTAAATCATAAATCGCATTTATCGAATTTTTATTCTATTTATTCTATATTTATTATGTTCACTAAATTTTTTATACTTATTCATTACTTTATGTATTTATTAATTTTTGAAATTAATTTAGAATAAAATAATTAAATTTTTATGCAAAGCGTTCGTCGAGGATAAATTTGGGAAAAATCTAGTTTCTACGCGCGAATCGATTCTAGAGCATTTCGAGGTAACTTTCGCTGTAATTGCGATAACGACTAATTATCATCGCGAGCGAAACGAAACCTGGCGAGGATTCGCAATCGAATTGAGCACAAAGCGCGAAACGCCTGTAATTAGTTGACTATAGAATGCGCACGTGATTGCATAAATTTTCGCATTTGAAATTTGTTCATTCGCCAGAAAGATCTCGAGCAGATAAAAGCGCGAACGTGGATCTCGAAGCAGTAAATAGCAGTTTACGCTAATATCTATTCATCTTGTCTCAAAAATGTTCTTTTTTTCACTCTTTATATCGAAAAATCGTGTATATATTTTCAGCGATGCTTTCAGAATTATTTATTTCTTTCTATTTATTTATTTTTTTATTAATAAAAAAAAGTGTTTTCGCCTGCGCTAATAAAATCGTAGAAGCCGATTCTCATGAATGTACAACATTTTTGTAGAAATATCGGTTTCTTTCGATAATTTTTATCAATCGTAAACTAATACGGCGTATCTCGCAGGTTGACGGATGGTGCTGGTGAAAAATCCATCTCCGAAGCGCGGCCCGAGCCCCCAACGAGAAAATGGGAAGAACCCGAAGTCGAAAGGACGAAAAGGAGGAGCTCGGGGCTCGCGCGGGAACAGTCCCAGCGATCAAACTGGTTCGCGAGGAAGTAGTCCGGGAAGGAACGGCGGCACCGACGCCAAGGGAAAGGGAAAAAGTGCGCTGCTGCATTCACGGGGCAACGAGTGAGTATATTCTCGCTTCCAGTTGCGTGTCGAAGGGGAAAGAACGCGTCGCGAAACCATCTAGATCGCATATACAGGGTGTCCCGAGCAACTGACACGTGTCTCTCGTCCAGAAAATTAATCTCATTCCTAATCTTAATTCTTAATCTTTGGCGTCTCGCGGTATAAAATCATACATGCGATCTAAGATAGCGATTAAAGTAAATTTAAAAAAAAATTACATTACAAACCAAGACGACAAATTAAATTTACTTAGTTCATTTATGTCAATTAAAATATGTAGAATATATAAATATTACATATACAAAATTAATATTAATTAATATATAAAATTATGTTATCGCGAGCGCAAGATATTGAGAATAAATATGTGAGAATTATTTATAAACAAAATTCTCGATGGGATATATAACAATTCCGCCTGGG